GCCTGGGTTAGAGGGCAGTGGTGTCAGAATAATTCACTGCTGCCTCAAACTCCTGGGCTCAAGTGATTCTCTTGCCAGCCTCCCGAGTAGCTGGGACTACAGGTGTCTGCCACCATACCCAGCTAATTTTTCTATTTTTTGTAGAGATGGCATCTTGCTATGTTGTCCAGGTCGGTCTTGAACTCTTGGCCTCAAACAATCCTCCCATCTCCCAAAGTGCTGGGATTACAGGCGTAAGCCACCATACCCAGCAGAAAAAGAGTTATTTTCAAACAAGCTGTAAACCTAGGCAAAGAAGAGGGAGCTAACTATCTTAACTTTATTCTAGTGATTCTGAAAGCCTGGTTTGTGGTCCACTACATCAATATTGCTTGGAAAACTTGTTAGAAAGGCAGGTTCCTGGTCCCTGCCCTAGATCCCTGAAGATAACTCTCAGGGGAGGGGGCTTAGAGATCTGCATTTTAATACGCTCACAGTTCATTTTTATGCACATCAAAATTTGGGAATGACTCCAGAGTGTAACTTGTTAAATTTATTTACTTAAGATTTGGGGCCTGTAGTCCCAGCTACTTGGGAGGCTGAGACAGGAGAATGCCTTGAGCCCAGGAGTTTGGAAAACAAACAAAAAATGGTTTGGGGACTGACATACAAGTGGGTAATACATTTCAGGCAGGAACCTGTCCTTTTCTTATATGTCATCTGCTACGTCGTACTTTCATCTCTTATAACTTTCCAACATAGAACTCACTGCAGATAGACTCATATTGTATTATCAGCCTGCATAAGATAATAAAATATTTTCTGGCACTATTGGGTAATGCATTGTTTTGAGTAATTATTCTGGCTAATGATTTCCTCCCCCAAATTATAGGTAGATCACTAGTTTTCAAAGAATCAGAACATAATAAACTATCCTTAAACACACCTAAGTATTGCTTACTGTGTCTTCGAAGATAGTTCAGGTGTCTCCAGAGTACTGTGCAACCCACAAGGGATCGGCACGCTGTTCTTTGTATACACAAATTCTAATCCATCTCTTAAGAGATTTTAGAATTGTCATATTTGTAGATATGTGAATAGTTGGTTTTAGACTTTGGCTTAGGAAAAGCTGGTGTTTATAGTAAGGCTCTCAAGCTCTTTTTCTGCCCCACATCATTTACATATTTAACACAACTTTACAGGCAACGTTTCTGACCCCATGCAGTGACTATCATGGTGACTGTCCTTCAGATACAGTGCATGCAAACGCACACCTCCATTTGGGAATCCCGGGGGTTCAGTGTTGGATGTCTAGATAGAAGAGCTTCTTTAGATAGGCATATTTAAAAATGTAAAGTATGAATTAAATCATTTTAGGGTATCAGGCTTTAAAGTATACAGTGAGTACCCTTAATGATTTATTT